ATGAGCCTCCTGGGACGGCCAGGGCATCCAGGTCAGCCATCCAGGCACCCACCCAGACAGAGGGTGGGAGGGGCTCAGCTATGTGGACTGCTTCCTGGGTTTGTTTGAACAAAAGCTTAGGAGGATATGAATCTGTATCACCCTGAGGAGGAACCTATGAAAGTCAAGTATTTTAGGTCTAAGTGTTTTTCCAAATATGCTTCTCAATGGTACAATTGCCTTGGCTCTTTGACCTTTAAGAATCTTACAGGGACAGCCTCGTGGGTGGGGACCAACTGATGGCCATTTTCACTCGTGAGGTGGGAAGATTTGAATCTAATGCATTATTTCACAGCCCTGACTGCAACTCATATTTAGCTGGACAGTTAAAAACAAACAACAACAAAAAAATCCCTGGTGCCAAAAAAAATATATAGATATGTTAAAAGATGTTGTTGGAAATAACATTGATCATTCCAAAAAAGTGTCTGAATAGCAGGTAAAATGGATGTGCAATCACATGTCCAGGTACACTTGACCAGTAGCAGTACATTCAGTTCAACTTCAAAAAGTAATGTAGAGATAACCTTTCTTAAAATATTTGTACAATTTTTTGGCACCTCTGTATTGAGGTTAATTGGTCAGGGGTAGAAAGTAGCCATTTTCTTTTTTTTTTTTTTTTTCTTCAAGCTCCTAAAGTGCTTATAATGTGCACCCAGCATTCCGAACTATGCCTGGTGAAAAATAATAGTAAACTAGATACAGGGCAAAGGGGTTCCCTGGAGAGAAGTGTTTATAAGAAGAAAATAGCGTCCACCCCAGCCCTTGACTGGAATTAGGATTTGAGTAACGTCTGACCAGGGGTGTAAGACTTTGCTCCTTCCCAGTTGTATCACAGCCACGCTCTTGCTGTGGCACTCAAAGTCCTCACAGCCTGGTTCTCTCCTGCTTAGACCCACTCCCTCCACTCACCCTACATCTTATGATTGATTCAATTACATGAGCATATTCAATGCACCCAAACATGACTTGAGCTTTGTCACATCAACTCTATGCACCTTCCCTAACACTTCTGCCGACCCAGCTGTGCACGGTGAGCACTTGTTAGCCTCTTGAGACCGATGTCCACAACCCTAGAAGCCCAGATTGCTAGGGGAGAGAATTTCAAATGTTCTAGCCACCAAAAAATGTGAAGTATCTGAGGTGATGGATATGTTAGCTAGCTTGATTTAATTATTCCACGTTGTATTCATAAATCATGACCTTGCTATATTCTCTATAAATTTATACAATTATAAGTTGTCAATCTACAGATAATACTCCCCTGAAAGCTAAAAAAAAAAAAAAAATCCATTACTTAAATCCATTTAATGCACATATGTTTATTAATAGAGCCTAGTGAGACATGTGCCCTGTGAGGAAGGCTATAAAATTAGTCTTATATGTGTATTTTAAAAGAAATATGTATATAAATTGGCACTATATCCTTTTTCTATTTTAATGTGCTAAACTGAAGCACATTATTATTATTTTCTACTATGATACATCTTTAAAAATTATATTGATATATCTGGTCATGGTGCCGGTGGGGTTTAAGTCTCTATAAGCAGAGAATATGCTGAGGTTTATCCCGCTTCTGAATATTTGTGACTAAAAATACTTCTAGAATGTATCTCATGATATGACTGGAAATCGTTTTATGAAAATAAGCTAGATGCAGCTAAAACACATGAGAAAACATAGTCTGGAAACTGAAGAGGCAGATTTTTCACTGTGAATCCACATGGAGACCACAGGGACCCCAAATAATTCATGTCAACTCCTATTTCCTAAATTGAAACAGACACATCTCATCCTCACACACAGAGGGAATAAAGCAAACGAAACAAAACCCTAAGGTAGAAAAACAAGGAAGAACCAAAATATTTTTCCTTCCATAACACATCACTATAATAAAAAGGTATGTCTTACAGTAATAATTTTCTTAACAAAATATATCATTAATACACAAATTTTTGTACTATCAAATTAATACTAAACCAGAACTAGGGAGAACATTTGGTTAAGTGTCAGTTAGGCCTTTAAGTTAGCATTTCATGTTTGTAGTGTTCCTAAACAGTTAATGTGTGCTGCCTTGAGTTCCAAATGTTCATTCATCCAATGCTGTGCACCTGCTAAGGACCAGGCCACTCTTCCACTTGTGAGATAGTCGAGATATATTTATACTATAAAATCCACGGTTTATGTAAACCTGAAATTCAAATGTAACTAGACCCTCTGAAAAGTATCTGAGCAAAGAGAAGAGGAAGAGCAAAGGCCCCGAGGTAGGAAACACCCTGGCCTGTCCAGAAGAGTGTGTGGGTGGCGGAGGGTGTGGGAAGAGAGAGGAGGGAAGGCAGCCAGGCTCCAGCCCACTAAGGCTTTGTGGGCCTTGGTAAAGATTTTGGACTTTATTCTGAGAATGATGAGGTATTTCATCCAGAAGGTAAAATGATCTGATTTACAATTTTAAGATGGCTGCTTATTGGAGAAGAGTGGGGTAGATGCAATAGAACAAGTGAGGCAAGTTTTTCAATATAGCAAATATAGCAAAAAGTGGTGGTGACTTGGGGCTGCAGGAGTGACAAGTAGTAGGTTTAGGGATATATTTTGAAGCTAGAGTTAAGAGGATAAATTAGATTTGAGAAAAAGAGAGGGACCACAGAGGATTTGCAGTCCTTGACCTGACCTATGACTCTAAATAGGGTGACCAGACGTCCCGCTTTTGGTGGGACAGTCTTGCTTTTCAACAACTTGTCCCAGGTCCCTCGGCGTTTTAAAGCATTCCCGATTTTTGGAAAGAATGCATGAATGGGAGGGAGAATAGGAGGGGAATATACAGTTTTCAGCGCCACGTGGCTATTTTGCCACAATATGAGTTTTATATTATTTTTGTTAATTTTATAACATTAAACTGTAATAATAACAAATAATTGCTGAGAAGTGATTATCAGGAACTGCTTATCAAAGTGTGCATTGTTGTCAGGCCCTGTCCTGCCCTGTCCTCCACCCCACCCCCGGCCATGTTGTCCCGCCTTACTGATGTTAAAATCTGGTCATCCTAACTTCTAAACCACCATTTACTGATATTTGGAAGAATAATATTTTAGAGCAAGTTAAGTTTGAAATCTCCATGAGACACACAAGAGTAGAGGTGGTAGAAATCAATGAATATTAAGGCCAGTGGGTAATTCAGGGCTGACGATAGGAAAATTTGAGTTACTAGGAAAGAGGTGAAATTTAAAGCCCTAGGACTGGATAAGGTCACCTCAGAATAACATACAAAGAAAGAAGAGAGGCTGAACACGGTGGCTCACACCTGTAATCCTAGCACTCTGAGAGGCAGAGGCAGGAGGATTGCTTGTTCTCAGTTGGAGACCAGACTAAGCAAGAGCAAAACCCAGTCTCTGCTAAAACTAGAAAAATTAGGTGGGTGTCCTGGCATGAGCTTGTAATCCCAGCTACTCAGGAGGCTGGGGTAGAAGGATTGCAGGAGTCCTGGGTTTTGAGGTCACTGGGAAATATGACAACACCACTGTACTCCACATGGGCAAGAGAGCAAGACTGAAATTAAAAAAAAAAAAAAACAGGAAGAAGAAATAAGGAAGAAAGAGAGGAAGAGAGAACTAACCCTTGGAAAAGTCTAACATTTAGGAAGCATGAAGAAAAGGAGGTCAACGCAAGAGGAGGACCACAAGTTTCCAGAAAAACCAGGAACACATGTTAGCCAGAAATACATAAGCAAATATCTCAAGGATAGAATGCCCTACCCTGCCAAATGCTCCTAAAAGGTCAGAGAGGATGAGGACTAAGAATTTAGTTTATGAGTCTGTTTAGATTTGGGAGACAGCTTTTGAAAAACAAAATTTTTTTCTTTATAGGGTTTTTTTTTCATCCCAGCCTTCTCTTTAACAAACAAACAAAGAGTTCTTCTGCCTTAAAATACAAAACAGAAAGCTTATTTACTAGTTGTCAGGCACTGTGTGAAATTGTGCTGAATAAAAAGAGCCAAAGTTCTCCTGCTTTGGAAGCTCAGATTCCTTCTCAGAGGATTCCCCAGAGAGACAACATTTCTTTCACCTATTATTTAGCTGCTTTTGAGCTTTGGATTAGTAGATTCTTAAAAGATACTTAGGAGAATAAAGATGACGTTTGCAAAATGACATTCACCATATTACAACAAATTAAAGGATGTGGAACATAGAACCTAGGAATAAAAGAGAAAGAGTAATTTTGCATTAGTAGGAAACCACATGAGCCACCACTAGACGGTAGGGCGCCATTCTCAATGTTAATGAGAATTAACGATGGTCTAATTGTGAGTATACATGTTGCTAATTTTTCACAGTTGCTTAAATAAACCTGTTTCTAACTGACTTCATTATTTTTGACATATGCTTTTGGAGTATCCTTTCATTGTGTATGGTTCAAATACCTTAGTATTCATTTTACTTTAATTCTAGGTGAAGGCCCTGAGGCCATATATGCCCTGTATGTTCAACCTTAGGAATTAAATACAAGAAAAAGAAGTGTCCTCCTAAAATTTATTTATTCACCAGTCCCCAACTTTTCCTCATGAAGCATTGTGGTTCAAATTATGATTATTAAGAATAAATAAAACATGCTATTAGGTTTCTTTATTTTTTTGCATTTATAAATGGGTATATAGGAATTTTTGATACTCTGACAGTTTTTAATTTAAAATTGGTATATTACTCAAAACAATACTTATTATTTAAGTATTCTCTTCATAATCATCAGAATCTACCACTTATACCTTAACAAGTATTTGTCAAAGGGTGCTAGGGAAATTGCTCTATACAAAATTATAGACCAATAACATTTAAGAAATGTTAATTTATTTAGATTCCAGTGAGAGCAAGTCTATAAGGTGAGTTCAGATGGGTCTGAATCTATGGATTACTCTGAAAAAATGTCTTACTAAATATTTTTCAAGATTTGCATTTGTATTTTTCCAACAGGAGGATTATACTGACTGTGGCGGTGTTTCTGGATTAAATCCCTCCCTGTGGTCTATCCTTGGAATCCAGTTTGTACTACTTTGGCTGGCATCTGGCAGCAGACACTGCCTATTATGACCTCCCACAACCAAATCGACATAATTAAACTCCAGACCCTGCCAAAACATGACCCCTCAATTACATTCAAATAGGGTCAACTGTCGAATCAGCAAAACGTTAGCTGGGCCTCTACCATGGCACTACACCAAGGCGCTGACTCATGCGGCACCCACTGGCTGCATGTCAGGGTGTCACATCCTTAACGTGTGTGAATGCTGCATCTCCTGTGTATAACATCAAAGCAAAAGCCGACATGTGCTCTACTGGGAAATTTGACAGTTCGTTGTTGCATTGTTGGTGATTATATGTATAAGGGCTCCCCATACAACTGTCCATGAGTTATAAGAAATGTCTTGATTTTAAGCTGGAATTTTGACTCGCTGCAATTTTCTCAAGAATATCTCTAGGGGAGAAACAAAGTTATTTTTACCTTAACTCATCCTTCTGTTAAAAGTTAATTCTTCTTTTGAGTAGTTATTATTGAAAAAATATATATATAGAGAGAGAGAGCGTGTGTGTGTGAGAATTAACATTGGTCTAAATTGTTGAAATACAAATAATGGCTGATTTTCTACCAAAAAAAATTCGCCATTAATAAAATGCCTTATGAAGAACGGCTTCGCTGCCAAGGACAAAACACAATTGATGACCAATTAAATTTTGGTGGGGCAAATGAATGGCTTAAAGATAATAACCAAGGAACTATTAAACTAAAGGTGCTTGAGGGTGAAATTTGAATATGTGACATATTTCTCATAAATGTAAGCAAGCCCTTAAATGCTTTGATGTGTGATGCTCCTTCTGTTCACAATACAGTTATGTCGTGCTAGCCAGATATTTTACAATGCTCTAAGAAAAGCTTGTTGGGGGGAGGGGGAAATGTCTTTCTTGTGATAAATGAACTTTGGTTATCAAGGGTATTTTGCATGATGCTGCTGCTATTTTAACTTTTCAGTTTGTTTTTCTCTTTCTGTAGAGTGTAGTCCCTTGAAAAGTTAACCGAGTGACATTATTGTTATGTAAGAATCTGAACCTTGCCGTGTAAATGCACTTAAGTCATCTTTAAAAATGTTGTTAAACTACTCTGAATATACTGTACAATGTAAATGCTGAATGATTGGGGTTAGGTCACGGTGAAATGAGAATTAATGGATTTTATACAGATTCTGTGCTTTCGCCTGAAAACCTATGTACAGATATTTTAAGTACATAAATCAGATTTGACACATTTATTTTTTGAAAAGTACATATATGTTCTCAGTGAAGATTCATCCTAGGTTTCCTCTTTGTTCGTTTCATTAGTAGCACACACGATCCAGAAGTTTCTGCTACTGCTGCTCTATCCCTCTATTTTAAATGGTATGATCATTTGACCAAACTTTCTATCCAATTTGATGAGGGTTTTACAATAATCTGAACAAATAGGAAACCTTGGATCTATATGTATGCACATAAATACTTGATTGTGAATAATGAAAATTGTTTTTATACAGCCTCCTTGGTGAAAATAATTAGTGTAGTAAGTCAAATATTTCATTATAGACTAATATGGTAGCAGAATATTATTTATGCTTCTAAAAATTATTTTAAGGAGTAAACAGTATTTGAAGAAAGAGTAAAAACTATGAATGTGTAACTCCAGGAATATGAAAAATGTTAGTGAAGGCTGGAAGTATGTAGATATTTTTTATGGTAATATGCATTTTTCTTTTCTTGAACATGCCAAATATTGGTGTGTGTGTGTGTGTGTGTGTGTGTGTGTGTATGCTGGAAATTTTATTACATACCAGTTTTAAGTCAAAATTATTAACATTATCCAGCATGCTTTAATACACTCCACATATCAAAGATATAACCAAGTCTTTAGACTAGTTTAAAAGATAAAATTTGTTTTGTCTTTAGCTTTGCATACGTTTGTAATTTCCTCCCATCACCACATACCCTAGGTACCTTTGTCTATGTTTTCTTATTTAAGATTTTTTTAATTTGGAATAGGGGGAGGGGGAAGTGGAATCACTTTGCAAACTATTGTTCCAAGAGTTGACATCAGTTACCATTTCTAATGCATTGTTGTGATTTTGTAGTGTCGTTCATAATTGACATTTTAGAAAACACCAAAGTGATTTAAAAAATACGAAACTTCTCTAGTAACAATGTTTAAATCATGTTGTTTGTTAGTTAGATATTTAAAACTTACTAACTTTTGCTAGACTATTTTAAATCATGAAAGTGTTGGGAAGGGGATATTAAAGAATAAAATTGTTTGTGCATATAAAAGACACATTAAAACACATGTTGAATTGCTTCCAGCATACAACAAACTACCTTAAAATTACTTTTCAAATCTATTAAATAGATGTTCGTGGCTAATGTCAGCTATACAATTCGTTTTCGTCAACATTCTTATTGCATTAATCACAGTTAAACTTGGCATCTCTTGGCAGGGTCCTATTTAATTTCTATGGCCATCAGTACCTATTTACATGCACGAGTCTTGCAATGGCCTTTTGTTTTGTTATAAAATAGGGTTATGTATTATGACGGCCACATAATATAATAATAAATTGGGTAAGAACTTGCTCTCTAACTAAAAATTGTTCTCCTGACTGATACAAGTCTTCATACTTTTAGTTTACATTTTTAAAAAACAGTAACACTCATCCCATCAAATTGCCATATTAAATTCACTACTTCTCTATGAGTTTTGTTGACAAACACTTAAATTATAGCCTGTTAATAATATTGATTTCCAAAGACTAAACAGTACAATGGATCGATAAAAAAGCTTAGAAACTGTTTTTATTCTTTAATTTTTTTCTGTACTCATGTAGCTTAATGTAGCTCGTCACTAAAACAAAGTCAAAATTAGTCTGGCGTTAGTGTTGAGTAACCAGAGGGAATTTCACATTAATGTTTTTGTTTTTCCTTCATTTAAACAACCAGCATTACTGCCAAACACCAGTCGTGGTCCATATTTGTAACAGGTTTTTAACATTGACATAGTTAGCAAGTTTGATTGAAGAGATTTTTAGGTCCTGGGCCTATGAGATTTTAGTATGCTCTTTTTTCATGTTTCTAATGCTTGAGGCGTTATTGCTTAACTTGGACAAAAATCAAAACAGTGTTGCCACCATTTGTAAGTTTTCCTACAATTATTAACTTTAAAACTGGCCTTATGGGGTTCAAATAGGCAGTATCCCTTTTAAGTGACCTTTGCAACCCAAGTGTTACTTGCTTATTTGACGCTCTCTGATATTTCACATCACATTTCAATCTGTCTCCACCAAAGTTTAAATTTTGTCTTAGTTTAAAACTGTTAAGCTATTCCATTGATCATGTTAGTTGACATTAAAATGTTTAATGATATAGTCTGACCTAGTGAAACAAAATGGATGTTGTGACTTCCAGTGTGAAATAGAACGGCTATTTCACTTGCCGAGAATGTTAAATATTCTATTATTATCTGAAACTCATGTTGTTTCCCACAGCAGAATGTTAATATTGTTAATATTCAGTGTACATTTCTGTAAAGAGCAAATCCATAAAACAAGCTATCAAGTGTTGAAAATTTCCCGAATTGTGAAGATTTAGAGAACTCTTATCAGTAGCTTCATTACCTTATTTCTAGTTCACGTAATTATATCAAAGAAATTCCTCTAACGGGATACTGTCTTGTATAGATGCCAACTGAGTTTCTAATGTGACTTGGTGAAGCTGTCTTTTTTGTTGTGCTGTGTGATTGTTGGGTCATGCTTTTCCAGATACTTTTATTGAAACGCTCAGTGTGCGTCCATGCAAAAGGCCAAATGGCTTTTGTGAACAATAGATCTTTTCTCCCCTTTATTATGTTCTCTTGACACTTTTGTGAAAATTAACTAGCCTGATAAAAAAACCATTTTGTAAAAATTTGTATAATACTGTTATAAAAATATTTATAATCCCAGAAAATGTTGTGTTAAATCTTGTGCAAAAACAGTATATTCAGAATAAAAGTTTATCATTTAAAGTCACCACCCAGTTTGGATTAGCTGCTTTTTTTAAGATCTGGTTGAAAGAAACAGGCCGCTCAGTCATGAATACATTGTAAGAAAGCAGGCCTTCCCGTTGAGAGAATTTGGGATTGTGGAAATGTAATTTGGGGTTACCAAAAGTGCTTTCAGAATCACAACTCACAGATACGTTTGCCCCTTGACCATGTTTAAACTACGTGATTCCGCTTATACACAGATTTTTTTTTTCAACCACACAAATCAAAAATACAGTGTTCACGGGATGCAGAACCCATGTATAAGAATGACCATAATTCCTGCCCTAGGTTCTGCACACCCTGGGACTTGAGTGTGCACAGATTTTGATATAGGTGGAGTTCCTGATATCAAAAGGGGCTGCTGCGAATGCATCCGCTTGATGGTAATTACTAGAAAATCTGACCCCCATGTGTGATGGAGGCATTTTAATGTGGGGAAAAATCCTACTTAAAAGTATACGGTAGATAACGTTTGTTTTGGGAACATCTGGCTTCATTCTGTCCTAATTTATCTCCTCAATCAATTCACTCCCTAGAGACCTTCATTTCCTCTATCAATCATCTTGATCCCATGCACACCTCTTCCCTTGGGTCCTTGCTTCATTAGTTGCCTTGCTCAAGCAGAGTTGGTCCCCATTTCCCCCATTCCCTGCAGGCGTCTTTCCCTCTGCCTGCAGATGCATTCAGAATGCTGCTTTCTAAAACAAACAGAGCTATCAAACACCCACTCCTGCCCAGCAACCCTAGTACTGCCTAGATTTATAAACCTAAAATTAAAATAAGATAAGCATTTGTACATCCACAGACATATGTCGGTAGTCCTTTCTCTCTGTGTAACAATCAGCCAGGCCTTAGAGTTGTCTGTAAGGTACAGTCTTTGCATGACAGCTGACAATTTTTAATTGTTGGTGTCAGGTTCTCATAAAGTCAAGATCTTAGGCATTTCTTGGTTCTGCGTGTTTTGTTTCTCAATGTGGGGTTATTCACAGAGCACCTACACAAATTTCTATAAATTAGTTTATAGTTCCACAATGCTGTTTATTTGATATTTGTCATTTAAATGGGCTGTTTTCTTTTAAAAACCTATTTAAGATGGAAATGTATTACGACCATAATAAGAACATCAATATACTTGCCCAAATTACTAGATATGTCACATTAAAGCAGGTTCATAGTTATTACTAAAAGAAATCAATAAATTCAGTCATCATACTCCAGTTGTCAATGTGCCACATTTAATAAAACACTTCCTCAATGCGTTTATTTAGTAAGCATTTGGGCAGTTTTTATATTTCTTCTACCAATGTTTTAAAGTATAAACCTGGTCCCAAGTATTTGACGATAATTGTAATTAATCTGTTAAAAAAATTATACTCATAAAATTTAGTTTTGTTACATGTATAGATATTTTTCCCCCATGTGATTTTTCATATTCATCATAGTTTGGGGATCACATGTAACATTTTCTTTAAAAATTATCTAAACAATAAACAAGCTCATCGTGAACTTTACATGGTAGGGGTGAATGTCTTAAAGCATCATTCTCATTATACAATGGTATAAAGTTTCCATGAAAAAAAATGCTCAACATAAAGAAAGAAAAGTCAATGGATTGTAAAACATAGAACTCAGGCAGTTGTAAGAGTTCACTTTCCACATAACACAGCCCAGAGGAATTAAATCGTGTCCGCAGTCGCCAGTTCCTCTTGTCAAAACTGGACTGGGGACCCAAGTTGGCTGATTCTTCGTAACTTCTCTAGTGACAGTGGCTCCAAACACCAGCTTTCCCACACTCTGATGTAAGGACAATGTATGTGTAAGTTGGAGCTAAACTAAAGCAAGGGTGCCAATTTTCTGTACTGGGAAGAACGTCTCTTTTCCAGATACTCTCTTTTCCTTGGTTGTTTAAGAAAAAATGACCTGCATTTTGTGAAAGTGTATGAAATAGTTGATAATTACTATAGCAAAGTAGTTAGCAGATGTGTATTTGTCCTTATCTCTGCTCCCCTCAACCCTTTCTTAAACTTCACAATTATTCTGACTGACCCCTCAAATTCCTAGATCAAATCAGGGCAGTCCTCTCCTATCCCTCACTCTGAGGGGTTATGACCAAGGGATTACGACCATTTATAGCTATAGAAACATGAACAGTTACATAAGGTCTCCAAGCCTCAGTTTTCTTATCTGTAAACCAAAAAAATAATGATAATCACACGGTAGGATTGTCATAGAGATTAAGGGAAAGAATTCATGGAAAGCACCCAGCATAGGCCCAGCACTGGACCAGCAGTCAACAAGCCCATCCCTTTACTGATGAATTGTTATCATCACTGTCATCTCCCTGGTCATCCTAACCTTCATTTTGGGCTGGAGCTCTAAAGGGCCCAATAATCTGCACTATTTGTCATTTAAAACGTTCATTTATACTTTATTGAACAGAAGTTTAGAAGTAGATCTTTTATACATACTATAGAAGTAGTGCTTTTCCTCAAGGAACTACTGGCTGGGAATGTTAAAAATTTCATAACTATGAGCCTAGTGTGAGGTAAGTGCTGTGATGTGGGAAGTGCATGGTGTTACAGGAATTTACAGAAGGGTAACGTGGCAAGACTTAAGTGGGCCAGAGAGGACTGCCGTCATTTTAAGCTGGGGGAAGAAGGTGACAGTCTTGTGACTAATAGAGAGCACGTATAACAACCAAAGACTGGAAGTGGATGGATGGGAGTTCAGTATGGCTGGCAGGTGGATGACGAGTTACTGTGAATTAATTCAGACTCTTGTGTGTTTCGTGCAGCCAGGTTTATGCTATCCGAGAGCGTCTTAGCTCCAGGTATGACGATGTTGGCACAGGTTATTTATGAATTCTACTTTAAAAAACACTATTTAAGTGTAGGCATCAGTAATTGGCTTGATTTTAAATGAACACTTTTTTGAATACCCTCTAAATCCCAATTTAATTGCAGTCTTTGGAGTCAATTGCTCTTCTTTTTGTATCTAGATTACATAGTTGCACATAACTGATAATTAAGTTCTCACTGATGGTGGTTGATAATCAGGGCAACTATTAGGATACTTCCTTTTTATAAGACATTATATTCCTATTGAAGTGATACTAATATCTAATACTTATACAGTTGAACCACCCGATTTTTATACATAGTGTAGAAATTTGTCGATCATGGTCGTTTTCATGGTAAATGATACCGAGAGAATAAAATTAGAAAATGGTATCACTTGAAAATATGATTTATTTACATATCATACTTAAATAAGTAATGGCCATTCCTTAATGAAATAAAAAGGTAATAAAAACTTTTAATACCCCACTAAGATGAATGTGTCAGATTGATGTCAATTGCCTGTTCATCTTAATCTACAGAACCTCAATGAAATCTGAGTGGGGCAAGTGAGAGAGACCACGTGGTCCTGCTAGAAATCCCAGTCTCTGCAGTCCCCTTGGGCATGTTATATGGCATCTCTAAATTTCTATTTTTTCTCTGATTTATTTTATTCACTCAATAAATATTTGTATATAGTAACAATAATAATAGCCACTGTCTAATAACTGCTTCACCCTCTGCTTTTCCCCTGAAGCTCAAACCATCTGATGCTAATGATTTCAGGAGTGACTAGAGAACCTTGGTATCAAGAGGATTTCTAAGGTATAGAGAATATTTCCAGAACTTCCAAATTGTTCCCCTGCTGTGCACTGAGGCTACAACGATGGGAAATACAAACAGAGCACAGGCTGTGGGAGAGCACAGAGTCAGCATTCGTCCCCCAGTCACACAGATAAGCAGACTGTGAACTCTAAACTATTAAAAAAGAACCACCACGCAATAAAAGATCGTGCTGACAAGGAGTTGATGGCAGGGGAAGAGCTGAACTGGGTCTGGTGGCTGGGCTGTGGAGAAGGTGGAAGGAACACCCAAACTGTCCTGGGTGTCTTCATCCAAACCTCAGAAACAATTAAACATCTGGAGCATGGCAGACATAGCCCAAGTAGTGGGGAAGCAGATGGAGATATAAACTCTGGGAGAACGTTCGACTTAGGAGCTTGGGGTGTGGAAGGAGGAACACCACCTCACAGATGGACCTCACTTAAGTTTCTCTCAACAAAAACACATTCCTCATCCAGGTTCTCTTTTCCTTTTATCAAAAACCTGAAAATGTTCCCTGCTGCTTTGCCACTCAATCATTAGTTTCCAGTCTCCTACAATTTCATCTCTGCCTCTCCCCTAAAACTGCTTAGGACGACCTCTGAATTGCTCATTCCAGTCTCCCTGTGTTCTGTTGACTACTACTCCTCCTCCTTCTCCTCCTTCTCCTCCTTTTCCTCCTCCTCTTCCTTCTTTCTTTCTTCTTCTTTCCTCCTCAGGCTTCTATGCTCCCCAGTGCTCTGCTGTCTGTTAGATCTTCCTTCTCAAGATCATCTAACTAATGTGTCCCCAAAATACTAATGTTTGCAAATCTTTACCTATCTTATTTAATTGCTTTTTTTTTTTTTTTTAAATCTGCTATCTGGTCCAAATTTCCAGTTGTCATTGGATACTCTTACCCAGGTGTCTTAAATACATGTCAAATTGAACATCTGATGAAATAACTATTACCTATTTCTCCATATAGATCCCTCCTTTTGCGGTTTCCATTTCAGGGCCTACTTGAGAGGCTAAGTCACCTAAGCTAGAAACTTCAAGTGTCATTAAATTACCAAATTCTGATTCCACACTCCTTCCCATACTAGTGCTACTTTCTTGCTTCAGAATTTTGTCAGCTCTTGCCCAAAATATTTAAATGGGTCCCAACTGGTAATGGTTTATTTCCACTTCAATCCATTCCTTATGCTATTTATTTTCTAAAATTCACCTCTGATCACATCTTCTCTTGTTTAAAAATATTCAGTGACTCCCCATTGCCTATAAAATAAAATATAAGTGCCTTAGGAGGATACATGATCCCAATTAGAACCAGGTCTCTGCCTAC